CACTGCTCATATTCGTATTAACTTAAAAATGTGCATACTAAATGTTTCTTCATGACCAATTCTCTTTATATTCTGATCAGTTTTAATATTCTTTATTTTGTTGAGGCTCATAGAGTTTTCGTGAAAATAAATATATAATGAATAAAAACTAAAAAATCGAGATTGATGATATTCCGAATTTGTTTGATAACACTAAAATTGACTAAATCGGTCGAATCTCCTAAAATTGATGAAGTATTGGTTGAAGCGGTTGAATTGACAGAATCTACTCAATACTTGAGTAGCAAATCCCAAGATTGAAAAGTTGCTACCTTAGAGTAGCAATTTCAAAAATAAAATATCACCCAAATATGAGCCTATAAGGACATCTGAGTTTGACGGATTGTTCGAGTGATTCAGATTTACGTTTTCCCAACGTTTTAAGATGGATCCTTGACAGTCTAGTAGTAATCTAATGAAGTCAAGGTAATATAAAGTTAACAAAAGAAAGGTGAAAATTCATCAAAAGAAGCGGGAAGACTGAAATGGTAGGCTTGCTCTAAATCAATTAGGGTTGTTAATTATACAAACGGCTTTCCTTAATAATTCACTGGTTGTTGAATCACATTTCCATCTAACTCTAATTTCACCAGAAAACTAACTCTAACCTCACTTTTTTTTATTAGTACATAATGCGGCACATATATCAAAAGTTACATTTTTGATAAATATGTTAACCGATAAGACTCATAAACTGAAAATACATGTTATCAAACAGGCTCTTCATGTTGGAATTATAGTTTTCAACCATTTCAACTCTAAATGCATTGTTTTCATATTACATTTGTGTAATAATTAACTAATATATCTTCTTGATTTAGGATATTTTTATTTGGACTAGTTTTAGTCCTGATCAGAACAGACTTGAACAGGTTGGACTAAATTAAAGCAGAGCAAACTTTGACAATTGTAAAATACATAGATATCAAACATTTATCAGACCATATGAGACTACACTTAAACAAATCAAGCTAGATCAGACTTGAAAATTTCAAGCCGAGTGAAAACATCTTTAGTACCATGCAAATAGCAGTGCTCACTTGATTTTGAAGCGGTTGAATTGACAGAATCTACTCAATACTGGGGTAGCAAATCCCAAGATTGAAAAGTTGCTACCTTAGAGTAGCAATTTCAAAAATAAAATATCACCCAAATATGAGCCTACGAGGACATCTGAGTTTGACGGATTGTTCGAGCGATTCAGATTTACGTTTTCCCAACGTTTTAAGATGGATCCTTGACAGTCTAGTAGTAATCTGACGAAGTCAAGGTAATATAAAGTTAACAAAAGAAAGGTGAAAATTCATCAAAAGAAGCGGGAAGACTGAAATGGTAGGCTTGCTCTAAATCAATTAGGGTTGTTAATTATACAAACGGCTTTCCTTAATAATTCATTGGTTGTTGAATCACTTTTCCATCTAACTCTAATTTCCCCAGAAAACTAACTCTAACCTCACTTATTTTTATTAGTACATAATGCGGCACATATATCAAAAGTTACATTTTTGATAAATATGTTAACCGATAAGACTCATAAACTGAAAAAAATGTTATCAAACATGCTCTTCGTGTTGGAATTATAGTTTTCAAACATTTCAACTCTAAATGCATTGTTTTCATATTACATTTGTGTAATAATTAACTAACATATCTTCTTGATTTAGGATATTTTTATTTGGACTAGTTTTAGTCCTGATCAGAACAGACTTGAATAGGCTGAACTAAATTAAAGCAGAGCAAACCTTGACAATGGTAAAATACATAGATATCAAACATTTACCAGACCATATGAGACTACACTTAAACATATCAAGCTAGATCAGACTTGAAAATTTCAAGCCGAGTGAAAACATCTTTAGTACCATGCAAATAGCAGTGCACACTTGATTTTGAAGCGGTTGAATTGACAGAATCTACTCAATACTGGGGTAGCAAATCCCAAGATTGAAAAGTTGCTACCTTAGAGTAGCAATTTCAAAAATAAAATATCACCCAAATATGAGCCTATGAGGACATCTGAGTTTGACAGATTGTTCAAACGATTCAGATTTACGTTTTCCCAACGTTTTAAGATGGATCCTTGACAGTCTAGTAGTAATTTGACGAAGTCAAGGTAATATAAAGTTAACAAAAGAAAGGTGAAAATTCATCAAAAGAAGCGGGAAGACTGAAATGGTAGGCTTGCTCTAAATCAATTAGGGTTGTTAATTATACAAACGGCTTTCCTTAATAATTCATTGGTTGTTGAATCACTTTTCCATCTAACTCTAATTTCACCAGAAAACTAACTCTAACCTCACTTATTTTTATTAGTACATAATGCGGCACATATATCAGAAGTTACATTTTTGATAAATATGTTAACCGATAAGACTCATAAACTGAAAATACATGTTATCAAACAGGCTCTTCATGTTGGAATTATAGTTTTCAACCATTTCAACTCTAAATGCATTGTTTTCCTATTACATTTGTGTAATAATTAACTAACATATCTTCTTGATTTAGGATATTTTTATTTGGACTAGTTTTAGTCCTGATCAGAACAGACTTGAACAGGTTGAACTAAATTAAAGCAGAGCAAACCTTGACAATTGTAAAATACATAGATATCAAACATTTATCAGACCATATGAGACTACACTTAAACATATCAAGCTAGATCAGACTTGAAAATTTCAAGCCGAGTGAAAACATCTTTAGTACCATGCAAATAGCAGTGCTCACTTGATTTTGAAGCGGTTGAATTGACAGAATCTACTCAATACTGGGGTAGCAAATCCCAAGATTGAAAAGTTGCTACCTTAGAGTAGCAATTTCAAAAATAAAATATCACCCAAATATGAGCCTATGAGGACATCTGAGTTTGACGGATTGTTCGAGCGATTCAGATTTACGTTTTCCCAACGTTTTAAGATGGATCCTTGACAGTCTAGTAGTAATCTGACGAAGTCAAGGTAATATAAAGTTAACAAAAGAAAGGTGAAAATTCATCAAAAGAAGCGGGAAGACTGAAATGGTAGGCTTGCTCTAAATCAATTAGGGTTGTTAATTATACAAACGGCTTTCCTTAATAATTCATTGGTTGTTGAATCACTTTTCCATCTAACTCTAATTTCACCAGAAAACTAACTCTAACCTCACTTATTTTTATTAGTACATAATGCGGCACATATATCAAAAGTTACATTTTTGATATATATGTTAACCGATAAGACTCATAAACTGAAAATACATGTTATCAAACATGCTCTTCATGTTGGAATTATAGTTTTCAACCATTTCAACTCTAAATGCATTGTTTTCATATTACATTTGTGTAATAATTAACTAACATATCTTATTGATTTAGGATATTTTTATTTGGACTAGTTTTAGTCCTGATCAGAACAGACTTGAACAGGCTGAACTAAATTAAAGCAGAGCAAACCTTGACAATTGTAAAATACATAGATATCAAACATTTATCAGACCATATGAGACTACACTTAAACATATCAAGCTAGATCAAACTTGAAAATTTCAAGCCGAGTGAAAACATCTTTAGTACCATGCAAATAGCAGTGCTCACTTGATTTTGAAGCGGTTGAATTGATAGAATCTACTCAATATTGGGGTAGCAAATCCCAAGATTGAAAAGTTGCTACCTTAGAGTAGCAATTTCAAAAATAAAATATCACCCAAATATGAGCCTATGAGGACATCTGAGTTTGACGGATTGTTCGAGCGATTCAGATTTACGTTTTCCCAACGTTTTAAGATGGATCCTTGACAGTCTAGTAGTAATCTGACGAAGTCAAGTTAATATAAAGTTAACAAAAGAAAGGTGAAAATTCATCAAAAGAAGCGGGAAGACTGAAATGGTAGGCTTGCTCTAAATCAATTAGGGTTGTTAATTATACAAACAGCTTTCCTTAATAATTCATTGGTTGTTGAATCACTTTTCCATCTAACTGTAATTTCACCAGAAAACTAACTCTAACCTCACTTATTTTTATTAGTACATAATGCGGCACATATATCAAAAGTTACATTTTTGATAAATATGTTAACCGATAAGACTCATAAACTGAAAATACATGTTATCAAATAGGCTCTTCATGTTGGAATTATAGTTTTCAACCATTTCAACTCTAAATGCATTGTTTTCGCATTACATTTGTGTAATAATTAACTAACATATCTTCTTGATTTAAGATATTTTTATTTGGACTAGTTTTAGTCCTGATTAGAACAGTCTTGAACAGGCTGGACTAAATTAAAGCAGAGCAAACCTTGACAATCGTAAAATACATAGATATCAAACATTTATTAGACCATATGAGACTACACTTAAACAAATCAAGCTAGATCAGACTTGAAAATTTCAAGCCGAGTGAAAACATCTTTAGTACCATGCAAATAGCAGTGCTCACTTGATTTTGTAGTTCATTCATCATGCTTGTTGTTTAGCTTATGTTTTCCTTACTTAAAAGTAGATCAATGCTTTTTCGATCTTAGAAGTGCAGGTGATATTCCCATTTGGAATACAAAAACAATGGAATTAAAAAAATTCTGACTCATAATTCTTTAGGAACAAAGTAGCAATTTCCAAGACTGAAAAATTGCCACCTTAGAGTAGCAATTCTAAAAATAGAATATCATCCAAACGTGAAAAATGCGAGTTTGATGGATTGTTCAAATGACTTAGATTTACTTCTCTCAACAGTTTGAGGTGAATACTTGGGAGTCTAGTATCAGTCTCACAAATTCAAGGTAATATGAGGTTAACAAAAAGGTGAAAATTCATTAATAGAAGCCAGAAGACTGAAATGATAGGCTAGAATCAATTAGGGTTGTTAATTATACAAAGGACTTTCTTAACAATTCACTAGTTGTTGAATTGCTTTTCCATCTAAAATAAAACAGTCATATTTTTGTGGAAACACCACAACAATATCTGATGTAAAGTGCAATAGCAATTTAGGGTCAAAATTTCCTTTGGTTGAATTCCTGCGTGAGTTTGTATTTATACAAGTATGTACTGACCGAATAAACAAACCCTTGCCCCACTCAATAATACACTAAGCTAATAACTATACAAGCCCAATTAAATGCATAAAAATAATGAGCTAATAATAACGGTCTAACACCCCCATCAAGTTGGAGCATGAGGATTAAAGATGCCCAACTTGTTGAGAAGAAAGAGAAATTGTCATTGACCAAGAGTTTTGGTGAAGATGTCAGCCAACGGATTGCCAGTAGAAACATGACGAACACTGAGGAGACCATCCTGAATACCATCTTGAATAGCATGAGGATTAAAGATCCTCAATATGCTTCGTGCGTTCATGAAAAACATGATTATGAGCAATGTGAAGAGCGGAGCGACTGTCACAAAATAGAGACATGGGTAAAGAATGACGCACACCAAGTGAAAGGAGAAACCCCTTAAGCCATTTTAATTCAGCGGTGACGGTGGCCATGGAGCGATACTCAGCCTCTGTAGAAGATCGGGAGACAGTGTGTTGCTTCTTAGATTTCCAAGAAATTGGAGCCCCATCAAAAAATATCACCCAACCGGTTAGGGACGGGCGAGTGAGAGGGAAGCTTGCCCAGTCGGAGTCACACCAGGCCGTGAGATGCATATCCGAGGTAGAAGGAAGAATTATTCCCTGTCAATGTGTTCCTTTAAGGTAGCGAACGACACGTAGAGCAACGTGCCAGTGATCTTGTCGTGGGGCCTGCATAAACTGAGACAAAATGTGAATATCATATGCCAAGTCTGGGCGTGTAAAATAGAGATAAATTAGTCGACCCACGAGATGACGATAAGGTTTTGGGTTAGATAATAAATCTCCTCTAGACAAAGCGAGAGAATAATTTGCCTCCATGGGACAAGGGGGTGGTTTAGCACCCAGAAGACCGGCCTCAGAAATAATATCCAGAGCATATTTGCGTTGGCAAAGAAATAAGCCATCAGCACTCCGGGCAACCTCAATGCCAAGAAAATATTTAAGAACACCCAAATTTTTCATGTGAAAGCAAGTGTGAAGGTATTGCTTAAATTGAGATAGAGCATGAGAATTATTACCAGCAACAATTAAATCATCAACATATATTAAAACATGTAACTGAATATCACCCTTGTGATAAGTAAATAAGGAACAATCAGGCTTAGACTAACAAAAACCATAATTCCGTAAGGAGCATGTGAGCTTGGCAAACCAACACCTGGGAGCCTGACGTAAGCCATTCAGAGATTTCCTCAGCCGATAGACCATATCTGACCGAGAATGAAAACCCGGCAGAGGTTTCATGTACACCTCGTCACGCAAATCACCGTGAAGAAAAGCATTATGAACATCCATTTGACGCAATTCCCAATTTTTAGCTGCAACAACCGCCAAAAAAACACGAACGGTAACCATCTTGGCTACCGGAGCAAAAGTGTCAGTATAATTGATACCTGCTTTTTGGTGGTTACCAAGCACCACCAAACGAACCTTGAGCCGTTCCACTGTCCCATCAGAGTGGTATTTGATTTTGTAGACCCATTTCCTCCCAAGTGCCTGTTTGCCCGGAGGAAGACGAACCATATCCCAGGTATGGTTGTTCTCGAGTGCCTGTATTTCATGCTGCGCGCATGGCAGCCCGCCAACCTGTATCCATCATGGCCTCGCGGAAAGAACGAGGTTCATGACCTGCAAGAATAGCTCCAAGGAACGTGCGATAATGAGTAGAGAATTTTTCACAATTAATATAATGTGCTAAAGGCAAATTCCATAATATTTTATCTGTTAAATTTCGATAATATTTTATTAAGAATGGCCTCTCCGTTAAAATTTTATCTGTTAAATTTCGATAATATTTGTATCTGAATTACAAAGATATATTAAGAATAATATACACTAAATTAAAATTCCAATTTCACAAATCAAAATTAAAAAAATCACAAATTATTAAATTAACTACTTCTATACTCCTAAAACCAAAAGTTAAGGCAAATTCTAAATTTAACACACTTTCTAACTTTCAAGTACTTTATAGCCAAATTTAACTCTAAAATTCCAATTTAACAATCTAAATTAAAAAATTTACAAATTACTAAATTAACTACTTCTACACTCCTAAAACCGAAATTTAAGGCAAATTCTAAATTTAACACTCTTTCTAACTTTCAAGTATTTATAGCTAAATTTAGCTCTAAAATTCAAATTTAACAATCTAAACTAAAAAAATTACAAATTACTAAATCTAGTACTTCTACACTCCTAAAAAAAATTAATTAAGGCAAATTATTAATTAGAGATCTATATATAGCTTTTTAACGACGTGATACTATCTCCGTCTAAATCAATATCGTAAATATATAATTATTATAAGTAATATATAAATCATATATAATTAATTAGATAAACATAATATTATTATAAAGATTAAATTATAGAGTAATTAATTAGGCTAATTATGCATGACTAATTATGCATGATATTAGTATGATTTAATATATCACAACGATTTGGTAATTACAATGCATTTACAAATATTTTTTAGATTTCACCACGTTGATTATGGTTCTATTATTATCAAATTAGCCACAATATATTATAGTAGAGATAATATATACTTTTATTATAGCGTAAGTATATAATACACTAAGTAATAGATATATTACTAATATCAGTGATGTATAGTCATTATGTTATAATATTTAATATAAGCCTATGATATCTAATTATTGATTATACAACGATCAATTATAGCCAAATTTAACTCTAAAATTCCAATTTAACAATCTAAATTAAAAAAATTACAAATTACCAAATTAACTAATTCTACACTCTTAAAATGACAACATATAAAACCAAATAATTGTAAATTCTATTTAACTTCAACAATACATACCGAGAGATTCACAGTTCTGAAACGTTTGACGGTTGTTCCTCTGACCATATACTGATGATGGGCCTTTCTCTCCGGGAGTTCCGTGGAACGTCAAATTTTGTGACGGGGTCCCTGAAGCTTCCACGTAAATGTGCAATTCCTCATACTCATTTTTAGCGATCCGGAAAAATGATGCCATGTCTGCTCATCGTGAATGGGCCATAATCTAGAAGCAACATATACCGAATTCTTATATTTGACAATTTTCTGTAAATTAATTTAATTTCGGAAAATCCGTCGCATCTAACATGATTTAGAACATTCTCATGTATAGTACGAGTAGTATAATCATCTCCTTCACTAATGAATAGTACCGCCCTAGGAGGTATGGAGTACTCTATTTCATCATCTTTTTGAGATGTGGAACCATTCCAATGAGCCATAACAACAATATTGTCCTCGGTGGACATTTTTATATATGGTATATATTATAAATACGTAGTATAATATGAGAGGTTGGTAATATATTAAGAACAATATATGGTGCTAAACAAAAAAATAATGAATATATTAAGAAAGAAAGAAGTGTTTTTGGAGTGTGTTGTAAATTTTGAGAACAAATGAATGGATTTTATAGGGGGTATTAGTGTAACAGTTTGGTGGAAAACTAGGCCAAAAATACGTGTCGGATTCACCAATTCCGACCACAATGCATACAGGTTGGTAAAATACTCGAACCACAATTAAACACCTCATTTTTTAAAAAAAATATCACAATACCCTAGTCGGATTCCCCAATTCCGACTAGGTTTTTTAAATTATTGGGCATCACTCTCCAGTTGGATGTGGCAATTCCGATAGGGGGAGTGCGTGTAAAAAAAACTCTAATCTCTAGTCGGAACAACGGATTCCGACTCCCGTATTTTGGTAACCTAAATAACTTTCCCGTATTTTGGCATGTCAGACGCCATACCCTCGTAATCTGGTAATTTCCTCCAAAATTTCCCTTGGTTGAATTCGTGAGTGAGTTTGTATTTATACAAGTATGTACTGGCCGAATAAACAAACCCTTGGCCCACTTAATAATACACTAAGCTAATAACTATACAAGCCCAATTAAATACTCACTCCGTCCCTCTATTATTGTCTCATTTCCTATTCATTTGGTCAACACAAATCACTCTTAATCTCTTACTTTATTGATCAAATTTTTATCAAATTTGATTCTGGTTTTTGCGACTTTGTAAAACTTTTAATGTAGTTTATGAATATGCAATTTTTTTTTTCTAGAAATAATTTTAGTGCGAACCGGGATCTGTTTGCTTTATCGTCAGTCAAGCATCATAACCCACAATGGGACAATAACAGGGAGACGGAGGTAGTACATAATAATGAGCTAATAATAACGGTCTAACAATATCCATGCCATTATTTCTATCTACATTCTTTTCTTTTCTTTTGAGATTACTATCTACATTTTTTCAAACTTTGTGAATTGGTATACCACCGCGTTGAATTCTAGTCTCCTAAGCATTATAATGAAGTTTTCATTTTTCAATCCTCTTCTTTACATGTGAATGAGCCATTCCACATTTCCATTTCCGCCCAACAAAATGTTGGCAAAGTAAGAAAGCCAGAAATAGTTGATACCCTGTTACTACTCTATAGTACTCATTAAAGTAACCTATCTGGTAGACCGGGGAAGGTCCAAAATAGAGGAAAAGAAAAGGCAGCTAAGAATCCTAAGCTTACAATTTACAATTCATCCCTCTAAAGCATAAAAGGCCAAACGGGAAGGGGAAAAAACAAACAAATCATCAAAATTCAAAAGGGCAGGTTTGGAGGAGATACATGCTAAAACGGCAATTCTGCAATGGCCACCAAAAAACAGGTGAAGGAGCAGCCGCGATCAGATCTGGAAAATCCTCAGTCGAAGAACTCGTCGGCAACGAATGATTCTCAAATCAGTGAGGATGAGGCAGAGGACATGACGAGAACTGCTCTGGCCGCCTATCGTGCTCGGGAGGAAGAGTTCGAGAGGAGAAAAAAGGAAGTGACGGACAGGTTGCAGGCGCATTTAGGGCGCGTCGGGGAAGAACATAGGCGTTTGGCAGAACTCCATAAGGTATAGACGTATAGTTATCGGTCATCACTCCATGAGGTGTATTATTATTTGAATAAGAATAAATTTCTGTCAAGTTTGACATTATTAGTTTTAAACATAGACATTTTTTTTCCAAACTTGACAGATTACTCTTATTTAGAGTAAAAAATATGATACTTCTATTTTGGAATTTCAAAACGTTTTTGCTCCAATTTAGAGCAATTTCTATTTTCTTTTTACATTTCATATAGGTTCAACTTTAAACTCGGATTTATTTTACAAAATTTAAACAGACTAGATTAAATTTAGGCTGTTGTAAAATATCAGACATTTATTAGACTAGATCAATTAAAATTAGATTATACCAAATTTAAACAAACCAATTAGACTGGAACATATTAAACTAGATCAAAAAAATCCAATCCAATTAGAAACATTCTAAATTGAACATAAACCTTACCATGGGACAAATGTAGTTATTATATACGGAGTATTAATGTTACTACACACGTAATAAACAAGGAAGTTTCTCAAAAATTAGAAAAAATAAGTTGGTTTACTTAAATCGGGGTACTACATTTCTCATGAAATTGGAGTATTGTAGCACACTAGCACTATGGTGAAATCATTCTAACATATAATGACATTATCAAATATAAATTTGAAAAAATGACATGCATATAACTATAAAAATTTTCGGACAAAAAAATGACAAGTTATGTTTTTGGATAAAAATATGACTAGTTATTGTGTACAAGTCACTATGAACTAGTCGCTATTGTGTATTTTAGAATGACAAGTCACTGTAGATGACAAGTTACTTATAAACTTGTCACTAAATATGTCACTTTTTTGGAAAGTTTTAAAATAAGTCATATTTTTTATCTTTTAAATTTAAGTTAGTAATATTTATGGAAAAAGACCATATAAATATGACAATATCATTAGTGTCATCATGTGACAACATCGTTTCAAAATAGAAATAATCTAGAGCTCGTTTGGTGATTATGCTTTTGACTTATCAGGCTTATCCATCAACTTTTTAACTAAACGCGTAACTTTTGATTTCGCGCATTGAATAGTGTAATAATAACAAGAAAAAGTAAGGTTGAGTTATTTTTAGGGATTATTCCCTTAATATTACTAAATTGGATTGAATTTCCAAAAATGTGAGTGCTTTTAAAAATTGACAAAAAAGTGATTAACAAGGTCACATATTGGGATTAGAAAACATGATGTCACTGCAAAAAAATTATGTCACCGTGTTCGTTTTTCTTGTCACCGAGAATTGTCAAAGTCAAAATTTTCACGCCAATTACACCGTCGCCGCCACTGTCACAGTGACATCGTCATAGTGAAGCCGCCACAACGCCGCCGCCGCAAACCACAGTGACACGCTACAGTGACAAATACATAGTGACATCCACAACTTCTTCCCACCGATGACCGCCGCCGCCTGAAAACCGCCACCGACTATAGTGACACCTCCGCAGTGACATCCCCGCAATGACATCTGCGCCCCAACCTCTGGTCACGGTGACATCGCCGTAGTGACATCTCCACCACCGACCACCGCAGTTACATCTCTGCAGTGACACACAATTATTTCGACCACGGCTATTTCGGCCACCGTCACTGCCTCTCCCATATACAACCCACTTCCCCCGCCCTCTCCCATCCGAACACCCCACCATCGGAAAACCCCCATCCCAACACCCCATCACCGGGAAACCCCCATCCCAACGCCCCAGCACAAAAAACCCACCCCTGGCTCGCCGACAATTGACCACCCATGGAAATATGGACAATAAATTGAAGAAGTAGGAAGAAGCATCGCGGGGAAGCGGGGTGTGATGAAGGCATAGTCAACGGCGATGAAGAAACTCCGCATCGTTGTTGTGAAGGTTTGGATCTGTGTCGGTGCTGGTGGATGGGCGAAGAAGAAGCAAACAAATGAGTGAGCAAAGTTGATCGATGCCAGAGAGCTGCGTTGGAGATGGTGCGTCGGTGCTGGTGCGTTGGGCGAAAAAGAAGGAAGCGTTGGAGATGGTGAGTTGGTGATGGCGGTGTTCTAGCGATGTGCGAAGAAAGGAACGAGGGAGAAGACGGAGGTAAGTACCCGTCACTTTTTTGGAAAAAAATAAAATGGTTATATTTTTGGAATTGAAAACTTATGGAATAATATTAATGTCATTATTTCTTATTTTAATGGCTGTATTGAGTGAAGTTACTTTAGATTACTATTTTTGCTATTTTTTCATATAAATTTTTCTTTATTTTATTATTAATAATACACACACACACACATATATATATATATATATATATATATATTAAATACTCCATTTTTTTCATAAATCACCAGAATCAGCCAATACAGCCAGAACTTCATAAATTTTAGAAAAATCAACCAATTCAACTGATTTTAATGTTATTAAACAGGCTCTAAGTCTATTTATATAAAAAAAGTTATATTTAATGATCTTATTTAGGATAATTCATTTAATACGTAGTACTAGTCCGGGAAAGGAATCACAATGTACCGGCAATTGACACCACTAAATATTTGTTATTACTCCATTAAAAATTCATAGTCATATCTCTCTTAGGGCATCCTCATTTGTAGAATTATTATGAGATTAAATTAAATTGATGACATGACAATTTTTTTTGATAAGTATCATTGAGTGACATAGATTGTTTAATGAGATTATTTGCTACAATAATCTTGGATCAAAATATGAATCCAAATTATTTTAAGATTATTTGAAAACTATACATCATAGAGCCGAGGTTAATGCAGGACATGGGAAAAACAGATTATTTGAAGATGATGATTGAGAGACATAAACGAATTTTGAGATTATTTAAAAATTAATTACATAACAATATTTAAATGGTAAGAATAAAAAAAGGGACAGAACTACCAAATAAGTCCTCAAACTTTCATAAAAAGTGCAAATAAGCCCTTTTATAGGAGACTCTGTCCGGTCATCTCCATTTGAGGCGGTTTCCGGTGGAATTTTTTGATGAAATTTTTTTATCATCTTCTTCATTAAGTCTAGTTTACTCATACCAAATTTCAGTTAAAAATTCAATCAGGAAGGGAGTCAAATGAATTTTTGAAGATAACTGCGCAGTTAGGCATCGCAATATATTTCAGAAAATCATTTGACTGCCTTATAGATTGAATTTTTAGCTGAAGTTTGGTATGAGTAAACTAGACTTAATGAAGAAGATGCTCAAAAAATTTCATCAAAAAATTCCACTGTAAACCGCACCAAATGGCGACATCCGGACACAACCTCCTGTAAAAGGGCTTATTTGCAGTTTTAATGAAAGTTTGAGGGCTTATTTGATAGTTGTATCTAAAAAAAAGATCATTAGAGGTGAATTTTGTTCGTAACTTATTCATTATGTTATGGGAAAACTATCAAATAAGTCCCCGTACTATAATAAAAATGGTGATTAGGACCTCGTACTCTATAAACACCCAATTGAGCTCCCAAACTCTTAAAAATCGATCATTTTAGCATTTTAGCAGGTAAACTTCAAGTTCCTAGTTAAATAGCCCACGTGGCAGCCTACGTGGATTTCTTTTTCTTTTCTCTTGTTTTTCTCCTTTCTTTTTCTCTCTCTTTTCCTCTTTCTTTCTTCTCTTCTGCGCAGGCCCTCTACAAACCTCTTCCCAGCAGGCAGCAGCATTGTCGACCACCTCCCTTGTGCTGCTGGCATCTGAACTCATTGCCCCGCTCCACTGCCCAACCTGTGACCACCAACCCTGCACCACTCCAATTAGCCTACCTGCGCGCCGTCGCCGGCGGAATTCCTTAGCCGACGGATTCCACTGGTCTACTGCAATTAGCCGCCGGACATCGCTGCACTAAGCCGCCGCCACTTCACTTAGTTAGACGCCGCCCTTCACTGTCATCAACCGCCGCCCTTTACTCCAGTTAGGCACTTAGCCGGTGCCTTTCACTGCAGGAATCCGGCGATGGCCGACCAAGAACTCCGACTCCAGAGATGGTGGCCGCAACCGTGGGAGATGGTCGTAGCAGTCCCCGGAGTTGGTGGCCGGAGTCCTTGGAGGTGCGGGCAAAAATTGTGGTCCGCAAGGAAAGAAAAAAGGAAAGAGAGAGAAAAGAAAGAAAAAAAATAAAAGGAAAAAGGAAAAGAAATCCACGTGGTCCGCCACATGGATTTTAACCGAGAATCTGAAGCTTACCTGATAAAATGATAAATTGATTGATTTCTAAGAGCTCGGGAGCTCAATTGAGTGTTTTTAGAGTACGAGGGTCCATTCGCCATTTTCACTGTAGTACATGGGCATATTTGATAGTTTTCCTTTATGTTATTAATTATCTCTCATCAAATTAATTGTCCTTCCCCCCAATATATTATCGTATTCCTATAAATGTATATCCATATATTATAGATCTATCTATATATACATCTATATCTATATCTATATCTACATCTATATACTATCAATACTCCCTACGTTTCACAATCTTTGACACACTTTACTTTTTTGGCTGTTTCACAATAAATGACACACTTCTTTATTTCCTTATTTGGTAAACAAATCTTTACCAAAACAATTCAAAACAGTGTCAAACAGTGTACTCTACGGTAAAATTTACCCTTCAGTAACATTTTTTCCTTAATTTTTGACAAGTCAAACTGTGTCAAAGATTGTGAAACGGAAGGAGTATTATTTATCTATATGTGTATATATCTATCTAGTTTCTATATATATTTCGATATATCATACAAAATTACAAATACAAGTCAGACTGATGTATCATTTGCCACATGTGGCTTTATTAAAAATTCATGACCACATGTCATTTATTAGTAGCTTATACGTTCATGGCCTTATTAATGATTTATCTTAGTAATTATACACCATGTATTCTTTTCGGCTTGGTAAATATCCTATACCAAATACGGAGTATTTATCAAGTTTGTCTAAACTTGCATAAAATGTTGAGTTAATTATCAAAATAGGATTAAAAGTCATTCACTTTTCACAAATAGGACCAAAAAATGAACTATGTTTGCATAGGACTAATTATGTGTACCTTGGACAATTATACCCTTATAGCTATTAAAATGTTTTAATTCCTAATAAAATAATAAAAAATAATAAAAATTCGTAAAAAATACTAAAAATTAAGAAAAACATTTCGATATTAAAAATTTAATTATATATTTTTTTCAAAAAATTAAAAAAATTAAAAAAAAAATTAAAAAAAAAATAACAACGCAAAAAAAAAAATCACCGCCGCCTCTGCCGCCTCAGCACCACCACCTCCAGTCATCAGGGGAAAAAATGTCAAGTTCATTACGAATGCCATATTTATGGAAGAAAAAATGATAATGTTGGCATTCGAAAAGAGAAATATGCCACGTTTTTGGCATTTTCAGAAAAAAAAATGGCATTTTTTTCATCGGCCGGAGGTGGTGGTGCTGGGAGGTAGTACAGGCGGTGGGAAAGGCATCCATATTTTTTTAAATTTTTTTACGGAGTTTTACTATTTTTTATTAATTTTTTAAAAATAAAATTATTTTTAAAAAAACTTTTTTGAATTTTTTATTTTATAAAAATTTTATAATTTTTTTAATTATATTTCTACGAATTTTTGATTTTTTTTCGAATTTATTATGAATTAAACATTTAATTATGGCTTTTGACTATTTTAATTCATATTTAATGGAAGAGTAAGAATGGAATGCAAAAATAGGTATGTTTCCAATAGGACTCATATGGTCCTATTTTGGAATAAAAACATAGCAAGTCCTATTTTAGGTTTTTGCCATAGTTTTAGTCCTATTTGAACTAATTTCTATAAAATGTTCCAATCTTAATTGGAACTGAAATGATAACGTAACAGGCGGTGGAAGGATTTGTTGATCCGATTGGGAAGGAAGCTGCAAAACTGCGCAAGAAGATAGATGCGGTCAACAAGGATTTAAAGTCGCTGGGCCAGACCTGCCAGCGCAAGGTGAAACATATGTTCCTATTAACTTTTTAATTAAAGTTGCTTTCTTTTTAGTTTTTTATATTATCATCATCATTATTATTATTATTATTCGTTTTTTCACTTATGTATATAATAATTATAATTATTATAACTTAATTAGCATCATCACATAGTTGATAAAGTATGACATTTGTAACTTCTTATATCGACCGTATTGTGCTTTCTTTCAAAAAACTATCACGCCAGAAATGAGTGCATGCTTTTATAAAGTATGGTTAAGTTCTTAGCTTGTGATTATTAAGGAGTACTTAATTTAATTGGGCAAGGACCTTGAGAAATGTGGTGCTTTTCGGGTAGGTATTAAAATTAGAGAGTTGAAAATCACTTGCATAAAAGATGGTTCCAATCACTAAGAATGTCCAAGGTATAACTTTAGACTAAGATTCATTTTTTCTCTGTCTTTTTCGAATCAGATTTGGGGTACACACTTTGTGTATACACTCTTACACATTCATGTCTGTGGGGCGTTTTTTTATTATGTCCCAGACAGAACGTATTTGTCAAATGAGTGTGTAAAAGTGTGTACCAATAGATTTTTTCTTTTTTTCCTGTGGTGAAATCCTCGCCTGATGAAGGAGAGGCCGACTTGAAACCGCATATAAAAAATTAGCAATCAAAAATATTGTGTGTGTTTAATCGATGTAAAAAACTAAACATCAAATGACCAAACAACATTATTGATTCAAATAGGCTCAATTATTTAGCATACTATGAGTGTTAGTGTGTGTTTTTAATTCTTATTCAAATGTAATCATTATTTGGTTAAATGGTTACTATGAAGAATAATTACTACCAGTGGTGGAGGCAGGGCATGGCAGTATATTGGGATGAGTTGATATAAAAAATATTTTTAGAATTTTTTTACATTTTTGTACTTTATAATTTAAACAAAATTAAAAAAGGGTGGACGAGGGTCTAGATTGCCCTCTAGCTACACCCCTAATTACTGCTTACTTTTTATTTTAAGTGATACTCCCTTCGTCCCAATATTATCTCATTATTATAAAATTTTATTAATGGTGACTAGATCAACCTGCCCGGTCCCAATTGACCCGCTAGCTTTGGGCGGGGAAGTTTTTAATACATAGACTAAAATGTGATCGCATAGCTTAGTGTATTTGAAGAGTAAAATTTAGGATAAAAGTCATAAAACCAAGTACTAACAATGAATCAAATAAGATGTTAAGATGTAAAGAAGTCCTTATATAGGGGTTTAGGCAACAACATCCCTTTCTATTAATTTAAGTGCTCTTACGCGAGCTGCTTACACTTTTTATGAGGTCGGATTGTCGGAAGAGGTTTATAGGTTATTGACTTTAGAGTGTGTGAAAAAAAATAAATTAAAAAGCTATTTTCGGCCTAAAAAAGTTGAAAATGATGTTTTCGAGTGATAATTTTATTTAAATCAAACACTTAAAAGTTAAAAGATAGGATCTACTTTTTATTTTTTCTATTACACATTAAGCACATATTTTACCAAACATCATAACATTTTTCTTTTCAAAATCAATTGTTTCGTCAAACGCTATCAACTTTTACTATTAATCACTTTTTCCAAAATGACTTTAAAAAGTGTTTTTTAAAGCAAAAACATTTACAAATATTCCCTTATTACCTTCATGCTTACCTTTTCCTGACTATGAAAAGTCATAGTATATCAATTTTACAGGAACATGAGTATCAACAAGCTCTGGATTTATATAATGTGAAGAGTAAGGAAAAGGCTCAACTCATCACCATATTAATGGAGGTATAGTTAATATTGCACATACAGTCACATTCCTCATCCCGGTTGTAATTTATAGAAACCTTTACCTATATCTTTCATCATCACGCTCTTGGTAATTGGTATATTGTTTAATTTGTTGGATCATAATTGGTCAGGTCGTGAGCGAGAGTGAAAGACAGAGAATGAAGAAACTGGATGAGCTAAGCAGGGACGTGGATTCGATATCTTCAACTAGGCCGATTAAGCACCTTTAGGCCTTGATATATACATGACTAAAGATATTGCTGTCAGTCTGTCACATATATACTACCTCCGTCCCTTAAAACTTTGTTGTCTTCGACTTTTCAAACGAATGATTATAAATTTTGGATAATGATTTTGATTAGAATAATTCTATGAAAGTTAAAAATTTTATACTTTAATGAAAGTATTTTCAACAATGATTCACTTTAAGCAAAAAAAAAAAATCATTACTTAAAGTTTAACTCTATCCATTGAAAAATTCAATAGTGACGAAGTTTTAAGGGACGGAGGAAGTATGCAATATGTATAGAAAGTTGTCCAAATTGCGGGTCTTACTAGGTTTTATAAGAAATACTCAGTTTTTTATTGATTAACCCTGCAAGATTTCGTTTGTTCAAGATAGATAAGAGAAACTTACTTTTCACGTAGTTGTTGCAGTTCGTTTCTTATTATTTGTTGGCAATGGTATATGAGAGTCCATATGGGTCTCTTATAATATATTCTCTCCGTTCTATTTAAGTCTTTACATTTTTCTTTTTGAGACGTCCAATTTACTCCTGTATGATTCCTTGTTAGGCAACTCCTCTACATTAAATGTCCTAACTATCCTTCACTATCCACCAACATATTACATTTGAGTATATAGCATTAAATTCCCCCAAAAGTCAAAGGTATGCAACACATCTGTTCTTCTATTAATTGAGCTCCTAAAATACTGTGCCAAAAGCAAACGTCAAGTTCTATCCGGGACGGATGGAGTACTAAGTATTAAGTAGTACTGTCTATCCGTCTATGTAATACATTCTTGGTTTGTTCCAAATCTTTTCGTGACTAGAATGATTTACATACCACAGGTAAAAGTTCTAATAAAAAATGAGTCAGTTGTAGTTAAGAATATAATTAAATAAAATAAACCAAATGTTATACGGAGTGGAGCATACACTCCTGTAGTTTGAACAGAGAAATAAATGTGAGATTTTTCATGTTATTTTACACATTTTTTATACATGTTCACTTCTAGTTGTCGGTGTGTACAAGCGATTCGTTAAAAAATCAAAATTTTCAAGACATTTGTTGGTGTCAACAAGTAAAGTTGGCATGTACACGCCTAAACGTGCATGCGAAGCACGACTCATAAATGATTTCCTTCAAATACTTTTCTTCTTGAGGTTCAAGTACTTCCGTGCGATTGTATCATTACAAGTACTTCCGTAGTTCCGTCAAACAATTAAAATTTGTATAGCCAGCCATAGCCAATTCATCTCATTACTAGAAACAATTCACTTATTCATAAAAATGTTATTTTTGAATGCTATTGGCTTTTGTGGATAAATAAACTTTCCTATAATTGCTCGGAGCCATGCTTCTTTTACACTTTAAGCGTGTATTTTACACGTCCACACAACCTATATTACATGTGTACGCAAACAATTAGGGTGTACAAAACGTATAAATCTAAAATAACAAATTTTCAATTACTTGAAGGTTTAAATACTCCGGATATATTTAGCGCAAAAACAATCCGGCTACATTAGTGTGCACAGTTGCAGTTACCATTGTAAGGGTGTTTTCTTTGTGACTGTTTTCAGACCCAGATAAGATCAGATCAAACTTTAACAGACCAAACCAGGCTAGACTTAAACAGATCAGACAAGACTTCCATAGTTATAAAATACACAGAGATCAGACGTTTACCAGACCACACAACACCGGTCCAGACCAGACCAGACTTAAACAAACCAGACTAAATAAGCAAATTTCAATCCAAAACAAAACACACGGACTTCGTCCTCATCATCCAATTTCTTTAACAACTAAAGTGTGGATTTTGGACTTGAGGCACTCAATTAGGCCAGTTTCTTTGGCAAGTTCACATAAAATGTTTTGAACGGGGCTGAAATTTATTGATCCAATTTGATACTACGTATGATCTATATAATTTTGATTTAGTCGGATGTTTCACTCTAACTTTTCTTTATTTTGTTATTAGTTATTTTCTTCATGTAGTTCCAAAAAATGAATCTGATAACCTATATGAAAAATTCAAGAAGACAAAAGAAATGAAGATCTAAAAAAGAGCTCCGTTTTATGGCTTTGAGCAGGCCTTCCATAAAGGGGCGGACTTGTTGGTATCACCCCTCTCAATTAATTTCATGAGTTTTGAAAAGCTGGATTTCCCCAACTTATAAGAAATTATTTATATGAGTAAATTAGAGCACCAGAAATATTTCTGCACTTTCACCTAAATATTCTAATTTTCTTTAGCTTTTTCAGCCTATTTTGATAAATTTTTACTATAATCTGGAGCACTTTAGTAGTTTAATACTTAATTAGTGATCGAAAACCCATGGATGACTGAATGGGAGAAGTCTTTTTTATAAAACAATAGTAAAGTCGAGCACCAAGGAACAGGGTTTCAAGAGCGCCGCCACTCCCAAACCTCATGGCCGCACCAGGTTTTCTTTGACGGCGATTACAATGGCGGTCAATTCTTGTGATGGTGTTATCAGTATCTCTTGACGTTTCTTTCCTTCTTGCATTTTTGTGGTCTGTCCGATTTTTTCCGGTTTTGTTTTTCTCCCTTAACAGTGTGGAGTGTTTTGGTTTTCGCCATTTTGGTCAAGTGTGGGCACCGGTACAAACCGATGGCAATCGGTGAGGACAACGAAGGATTGATCTTCGATGATGACGATGAAGGCAAAACTGTGGCGAGCGATGGGAAGGCGACCCTTCCGATGCTAGGCATGATAGGTTCTCAGACGAATTTTCTGGAGGTTCAGATTCTCTTCTACCATACTACATCAGATCGCCCTCCTCCGGAAACACCTCCCAGCAAGGAAGTAATTTGGGGAAATTTTTTATTTTAATAATATTTTACCTTTCGAAGTGCTTATTTTTATTTCGGTTCAAACGAGTATGATTAGAGTATTTTGATTTTTATTTTAGTATGATTTTTGTGTCTAGCTAATCTTTCTATGAGTGGCCTTCCAGTTTAATGGAAAGCCTTTTTTTTGATGATCAAAAAGTCACGAAAAGTCGAAAACCCTAACAATCCAAGCTCAAACCGAATTCCAGGGCCAAAGAAGATGCTAACCCCTAGTAATAGCTCCACACAACATCACACAAGCCCGAATGGAAGTGATTGTCCAAACTCAAATTCGAAGCCAAAGGTAATTGTGATCATGGGAGCAACAGGGGCCGGAAAATCCAGACTTGCAATAGACCTTGCCTCCCACTTCCCAATTGAAGTCATAAATGCCGATTCCATGCAGGTATATTGAAATTAGGTCCATTTATATTTATCTATGGGATGAAGCAGAACAACAAATATCATGGTTTTAAATTGTGATAGCTGTTAGTGGTTACAGTCATTGCATTGCTGTCGTTGCCATGCCATGTGTGGATTCGGCATTTAGGCGCTGTTAATTGATTTCATATTTGCTCAATATGTTTATATGAATCTTTTATTCATAAGGTTTATATGAGTATATTCTTTTTAAAGATACTACATATCTGTACGATTGAATAAGTAAGAAATGTAACGATACTGAAAATATCATTGTGAATTTAGCTTTTAAGCACATATAAGTAATTAACAAACAAAGAAATAAGAAGGTGTATATTATGAAAAATGAATAATATTTAGAAATATCTTGAAGAACTAAAGTAAATAGTTATTATAAAACACAATTAATGATATTCCACCGTGATATATGTTAATGATTTCAGAAGGCAATAACATGCTATATTGCTCTTCTCTAGACTTTATTTTGTTGTGTTTATTTTATACGACTATAATCCTTATTTTTCATGTTTGTAGTTGTTCTTTTAATAGTGTGGCTTTATCAAAAGAGAAGAAAGAGAGATTTATAAGCAGCCAATCTTTTTCTTTATCCCCATTTATCCCATTTCTTTCTCGGTTTAACAAACCGGCGATTTCCTACAAGTCTTTCCTCATTTTAGAGCATATTACTTGACAATGAGCATTCAAATCCTATTTTTCGAGCATATATCCAAATCAGGGTGATACAAACTTTGATTATAAAAAGAACAACTAGACTATTTTTATTTTCTCACACGGACAATCAAATTAAAGAGAAATAATGATAAATAAAAAGGAGAGCAGAAGATGGTGTTTAAGCTTGATGTGATTACACTACGGGTGTAACACGTGATCTGAATTAGTGAATTCAGATCGCAATTGCGACTTAATGCGGTTGCGCTGAGTTTGCGTCTAGAATAGATGTTGTTGTTCACAATTTAAAACCATCGCAGATATAGCATTATGCTCTAAGGATGCTCATTCATGATTTTAGGTCTACAAAGGATTAGATGTGCTGACCAATAAAGTTCGTCCTGAAGAGCAGAGAGGTGTGTCCCTTTCCCATTCCCAGACTTTTCGTTGATGATGTGATTCTAAAAGGGATTCATATTGCTGTCTTGGAATTTATGCATTTCTATATTACGATTGGAAGAAGAGGAGCCTTAGCGCATCAGTTACGGTGTTACTGTGTGACTGAGAGGTCATAGGCTCAAGTCTTGGGTGCAGCCTCTTATCGAAATGATAAGAGAAGCCTTGCTCCTTATACACCCCTTGTGGTGGGACTCTTCCCAAGTCTTTCGCCTTGCGGGGACGCCAATGTGCACCAAGCTTCCTTTTTTATATTACGATGGAGGGTATTTCAATCTTGCAATGTGAGATGACTATTACATAGATCTCAAGTGGTTGCATTATTTTCCACGCAAGTCAAAGAATATATGATGATAATGATGTGTATCAAAATTCAAAATGTTGATGCTTATGCATGTTTGATAAAGTTCTTTTCTTATCTTGGTGACCCTTGTGGTAGTCAAACTAGAGTGACCTTAGAGGCTTTTTAAGGCTTGGGCTAATATAAGCATGTCTGATAACTTCATATTAGTTGTTAGAATCCTTGTACGTATTTGAAGACATGTGATGCAGTGTAAAAGGGATGCAGTTGATTTCTTACAAAATTCTTATATCGTTTACAATCTTTACTCGCGGCTTTATTTTTAATATTCCTGGTTTTATCTCCCATTCCATGCTTGTATGTGTTCAAGACATCTGATTTGGTACTGTTTTGTGTTTTGTTTATTCCTTTATTGTTTGCTCGAGATAGGTGTGGCACATCATCTTCTTGGTACTATCAGCTCAAATGTAGAATTTACAGCAAATGATTTTCGTGATTTTGCTATTCCAGTGAGTCACTTTCTTTGAAATTTTCCAATATATGATACTGCATAGCACTTGCCAATTCCCATTTCATATTGAAGTTGTGCCTTTTGGTTTAGCTCTGATTTATGTGTTGAAATTTTGTTTTTTTTTTCATTTTCTTTTATCAAGTTATGCTTTTGGTGGATGACATCTTAAAATCTTCTATTGGTTCATAGCCTGTTAGGAATAGTATATAGAAGCTACACGTACATTGCTTTGTAATTAGTATTAGTTGGGCTTCTGTTATATTAGCTGCAGTTAGTTACAACCATAGCTTCTATAAATACTCTGTACACTTTCTATTTTTCAATAAGATGATTTCACTCCTTTCTTCTACCTTGCTCTATTTCTAATATGGTATCAGAGCTCTGCTCGATCTACCATGGCGAAATCCGAGTCAAATTCTTCTTCTTCTTCGTCGCAATCAGCTTCTCAGATTGCCAATCAAACCTCGCCTATCATCTTTCATCATCCTCTACCTGTTAAACTCGATTCAAACAATTTCCTGTTCTGGCGACACCATGTCGAATTCATAGAAAATCCTCAAATACCAGATCGTTTTGCTGTTGATGAAAATGGAACAAAAACAGTTAACGAAGCGTACAACACATGGGAGCAACAAGACCAGATGTTGTTTTCCTGGCTCTTAGCTTCGCTTTCTGAGTCACTTCATGCTCACGTCATCTGCTGCAAGCACTCGCATGAGTTATGGAGTGAAATTCAACAATTTTTCCGCTCCAGCATCATCGCGCGAGCTCGTCAGCTGAAATCAGAACTGTATAACACCGGAAAAGGTGATCGTTCTATTTCCGAATATCTTCTTCGTATTCAGACCATTGTGGATAACCTAACATCTGTCGGAGAGCCTATATCCACCAAGGATCACATCAATGTGATCCTTGAAGGTGTTCCTGAGGATTATGAATCATTAATATCTTCTGTCACCTCGCGAAGTATTTTAGATCCAATTACTTTGTCTGAACTTGAAGGCCTTCTGTTGGCTAAGGAATTACGACTGAGAAAACTACGTGACTCCTCACAGCAAACAATATTTTCTGCTAATGTTGCGCGAGTTGAAACTACCTCTCCTACTACTGAAACTGCAACTCAGAATACTTCAAAGAATGCCTCAGCTCAAATTGCTCAGTTTGACACTTCTGCAGACAATTCATCCTATAGAGGAAGAGGTCGTGGAGTTTTTAATAGAGGCAGAGGTGGTCGTTCAGGTGGTAGAAGCTCTGTAACTTGTCAAGTTTGTGGTAAAAATGGTCACAGTGCCATTGTGTGCTATCACAGATACAATCCAGCCTATACCATTCCCAGTTCTAATCCTTCTACTATGCATCAATCTCCTTTTCCTTACTCAAATCAGCCTTACCAACCTCAACAGTCTCCTTTTCAATACTCAAACCAGCCTTACCAACCTCAACAGTCTCCTTTTCCTACACCACATTCATATCCAAATCAATACCAATATCAATCATCTCCTTCAAACACAACAAGATATTCACCCAATCCAACCCATCAATCACAGTTTATGCATCAAACACAACCTTATACTCCATCACCTAATCATCCTTCACAGTTCAGTTCATCATCAACTATGCCAACTGCAGCCTGGGCTTCCGCAAATTCATCTATACTTGGACCAGCTCCCAATACACAAAACTGGTTCCCAGACTCTGGAGCAACACATCATGTCACAGCTGATCCCCTAAACTTTCAACACAGTGAGCCTATTGCTACTACTGATAAGCTTTTTATGGGCAATGGTCAAGGTTTGGAAATTAAGTCTATTGGCTTTTCATCCTTTCCCTCTCCTTATCATTCATCTCTTTCTTTATCTCTAAATAACATCTTACATGTTCCTGCCATCACCAAAAATCTGTTAAGTGTCAGCCAATTTGCCAAGGATAACAATGCATTTTTTGAATTTCATCCTCATGAGTGCTTTGTCAAATCCCAGGTTTCTAAACAAATTCTGCTATATGGAATCCTTGGTGAAGATGGTCTTTACAAGTTCTAGTCATTTCCAGCTCTTGGGTCTCACCAGTCACCTGCAAAAGTGTCCAAGTCTTATTCACCTATTTCTGTGTGTCCTAGCTCTCTTATGTCTACTTGTAATAACTCTCAGTCAAACATCAATTGTAATATTTGGCATTTAAGACTAGGCCATCCTCATTTTGAGGCTCTTAAGTATGTTTTCAATCTTTGTAATCTGTCTCATTTAAATAAAAATGCTATGGACTTTTGTTCTGCTTGTTGCCTTGGTAAAGCTCAAGATTACCATCCCATCCTTCTACAATTGTATTTCATTCTCCTTTTGAATTGATTTACACTGACTTGTGGGGACCAGCTCCTATTCAATCCTTTGATGGCTATTGTTACTATATATCCTTTATTGATGCCTTCACTAAGTATACTTGGATATATTTTCTCAAAAAGAAATCTGATGCCTTCTTAGCTTTTCAAAACTTCTATCAATATATCTTCAATCAATTCCACATTTCTATCAAATCTATACAATCTGATTGGGGAGGAGAATTTAGGTCATTCACTAAGTTTCTGACTGATAAGGGTATCAATCATAGAGTTATATGTCCTCATACACATCATCAAAATGGTGTAGTAGAGAGGAAACATCGCACCATTGTTGAAAAAGGTCTATGTCTTTTAGCTCATTCCTCTCTACCATTCAAATTCTGGGACACTGCATTTGCCACTGCAGTACATCTTATCAACAAACTTCCATCTAAATCTATTGTCAATCTCAGCCCTCACTTCAAACTTTATGGCACCCCTCCTGATTACAATTTCCTCAAAGTCTTTGGTTGCTCTTGCTATCCATTCATTAGACCTTACAACAAACATAAAATGGATTATCACTCTAAGGAATGTGTTTTTCTGGGATACTCATCTCATCATAAAGGCTACAAATGTCTTTCTCCTTGTGGCAGAATTTATATTTCCAGGGATGTCATTTTTAATGAAACCAGATTTCCTTATCCCACTCTTTTTCCCTCTACATTCACTTCATGCATTAGTGTTCCAGTTTCCCTCTCAGCTCCAATAAAAATTCTCCCTTCTTCCTTATCATCACATCCTCAATCTGAGAATGATGCCAATACTTCTTCCAGCCCTTCTTCTTTACACACTTCTTCATCCACTACACCTCAGGATAATACTGCCTCACATAATCATCATCAATCTTCTCATAACTCAACTTCTTCTAATCACCCAAATAACACATCTGACAATTCTCAATCTCCATCATCCTCTGATTCCTCCTCTTCTACATCCCCAAGTCCTCCCCATAACTCTCATCCCATGCAAACCAGGTCAAAATCTGGGATTGTCAAGCCTAGATTTAATTCAACTTTACTGTTGGCCCATATAGAGCCCAAATCAATTAAGCAAGCTCTTTCTTCTCCACCTTGGCTTGCAGCCATGCAATCTGAATACAATGCCTTGATATCTAACAAAACTTGGTCTCTAGTCACTCTTCCTCCAGGCAAACAGGTCATTGGCTGCAAATGGGTATTCAGAGTAAAGGAAAATCCTGATGGTTCAGTGAATAAGTTCAAAGCCAGGCTGGTGGCAAAAGGGTTTCATCAGAGGTTTGGATTTGACTTTGGAGAAACATTTTCTCCAGTAGTCAAACCTGTCACAATCAGAATTTTGCTTTCACTTGCTATCTCTCACCAATGGTCTATACAACAACTTGATATAAATAATGCCTTTCTCAAAGGGGATCTTGAGGAAGAGGTCTACATGTCACAACCTCCTGGTTTTCAGGCCAAAGATACCTCCCTTGTCTGCAGACTACATAAATCTTTATATGGCCTCAAACAAGCTCCAAGGGCTTGGTTTCACAAGCTCACTTCAGTCTTATACAATGCTGGTTTCAAACAGAGCAAGAGTGATCCTTCTCTTCTTATATACCTCAAACCTGGGATCCAAATTTACATCCTCATCTATGTTGATGACATTCTTGTCATTGGCAACAATTCCACAGTTATCCAACAAATCATTCAAACCCTTCACTGTTCCTTTTCTCTCAAACACCTGGGAGATATTGATTTCTTTTTAGGAATCCAAGTTAAAAAGCTTCCTAATGGTTGTCTGCACCTCTCACAAGCCAAATACATCAGAGATCTTCTTCACAAAGTTGGAATGACAGATTCTAAGGGTGTGAAAACACCTATGGTGAGTACCTGTAAGCTCACCAATGAAGGAAGTGACCCTCTTCCTGATCCCTCTCATTACAGATCTGTTGTTGGAATTCTGCAGTATGCTACTCTAACCAGACCTGAACTTAGCTATGCTGTAAATAAGGTGTGTCACTTCATGAGTAATCCTTTACAAGACCACTGGAAAGCTGTGAAACATATACTGAGATATCTATCTGGCACTATTACTCATGGACTTATCATCAAACCTCTTCCCTTGACAAAAATACCTCTACCAATCTCAGCTTTCTGTGATGCTGACTGGGTATCAGATCCTACAGACAGAAAATCTACATCTGGGTCATGCATTTTCCTAGGCTCTAATATTATCTCCTGGTGGTCTAGGAAACAACTGAGGGTAGCAAGATCTTCAGCTGAAGCTGAATACAGAAGCCTAGCAGACACTACATCAGAACTTTTATGGGTTCAATTTTTAGTCAAAGAACTTCAAGCCCCTTTTATCACTCCAAGAATTTACTGTGACAATCTCAGCACTGTACAGCTAGCTCACAATCCTGTCCTACATTCTCGCATAAAACATATGGAAATTGATCTTTTCTTTGTCAGAGAGAAAGAAAGTTCATCTCAAACAGCTTGAAGTCTTTCACATTCTTGCCTCCCAACAAATTGCAGATGTGTTGACTAAGCCTCTATCTGCTTTCACCTTTCTTGAGTTCAAAGACAAACTGAGTGTGATTGATTTTCCAGTTCAATCACCCTCAATTTGAGGGGGGAATGTTAGGAATAGTATATAGAAGCTACACGTACATTGCTTTGTAATTAGTATTAGTTGGGCTTCTGTTATATTAGCTGCAGTTAGTTACAACCATAGCTTCTATAAATACTCTGTACACTTTCTATTTTTCAATAAGATGATTTCACTCCTTTCATCTACCTTGCTCTATTTCTAATATAGCCCTCTAAGAATTTTGATGCCCCAGAGTCCAGACATAAAATGACTAATGAGATCAAATAGTATTTAAAAATAATAACATAATTAAATATGAAGTGATTAGAAAATTATAACATCGTTTTTTTACTAAATGTAAAAGCTAATACTTGACTTAAAATTGATATAAAGTATGTGAAAATATAAATTCTTCGAACATATAAACAAAATTATAAAAGTACTACCTAATAACCTATTCTTCTTGCCTTTTGATGTGCAAAATTTGTAAGTACATCTCCACAATCAAGAGTAGATAACACTTTTTTCTATGGATAATGTATCGAGCCCACTTAACCTGTGTTGTGACATGGTTGAGGCAAGTTCTTAACTCTGATTACGATTTCATATTAAATTTATATGGAAACACTCTTTAAATAAATAACACAAAGTTTCAAGTTTAATACAATTAATAAATAATAATTAATAAATTAAATGTAGAATAAGTCATTTACATATTTCAATTTCGAATATCTATGCTGAATTTTCCAAAAAAAATCTATGCTGAATAGTGAATTGCGGATGTGAGACAAATTAGAGTTAAAATCTCAAAAATTGGAGGCAGTTTTCAGATTGGTAGCCGGTAGGGCACTTGACGCCTGCCAGAAGTGCAGAACCGCATAAATCGACCGAAGACTCGAAGAGTCGAAGTTCTTTTCCTTTTCCGTATTTTAAATTAATTAATTAACTTAAAGTGTACTATGCTAACTAGGAGTCTAGGAACTAGGGTCCTAAATTCTACTACCCCGTAACAAATATATCTTCCCATTTGAAAAGTAAGTGAGATTAAGAATAGTGAAAGGAGATATAAATTATTGAGGGTATGATGGGAAGATAATGAAATAGTGTGCTGGAATGAAGGATAAATCCAAAAAAAGTAGTTGTAATAGTGTATTATTTTTAAAATTATTGAGGGTATGATAGGAAGATTTAGAAATGGGAAGATATGAATGTTACAACTAAAAAAGGAAAGTGGGAAGATATGAGTGTTACGGAGGGAGTAATTTAATACGGAGTAATTCCAATATTTCTATTGGGCCATCCTTTTTGGCAGAATGGCAGCCAGGCTACATGTCTTGTCAATTGTCAAAGTATCATTTTGTAGACTTGTAGAGTTTTGACAATATCGAATTGCAAGTTGGAGTACGTTCTATTACATTAATACGGTGTATATTAATATATGTATATATAATAATACTAGCATTTTTATTAAAAAATGATGCCCCCTTTGGGGGTGGTGCCCTAGGCCATTGCCGGCTCTGTTCATAGCTCCATGTAGCTGACCGGATTGAGGCTTGGTTCTTGTCATCCAGTTAAGCAATGTGTGTATATGGATGAAAAAGCATGTTCCATTGTCCTTGGGAGATAAAAATTCCTGATTTTGTTATAGTTTGATAAGTACACAGAAATCTGACGGTGAATTGTTGAAATATGAAAACTGAAATTGAAGAAACGGGAAAGTAACGATACAGTTGAGGCAAGTTCGAGAGTGCCTCGTCTCTCCCAGTCCTAATCCCAAATCCAAAATCTGCCTAACCTTTATTCTATTCCCAGCTACTATTTATAATACTTTGTTTACAGGCCAGCCCATAACAAAATTAATACCAGGCCTAGACCCTCTTTAACATAATAGAAACTATGTAACATTATTTTATTATTATTATTATACTAAGAGGTTCCTATCATAGTTGGAGTACTATACTAACAACTAAAGTGTTTTAGGTGTGAGTTATTTCTCTAAAAATGGTTTCTGATCCCAGATTGACAACATAAATTCTTCTAAGCGTATCCATATGTTTCTATTTGTTTTCAATATATCCTATATAAGCTATGACCTGTCTTGATTAAAAACTACGTTGCTAGAGATTGTATGTTCTGTCATATCCACTGAATGAGTCTATCATTTTCTCATCTACCATCCTTCTAGCAGTCACATCCCCACATGCTCATCTTATTTATTGGTTCATAAAGTGTTATAACTGATGTTGCAATCTCACTTTGTTTACTTTCCCTTCTTGATTAAACTTGAGATCTCTTCTATTATATACCAAGTATCAACACATTGGTCTTTTGGAATTCCAGCTCATTGATGAAATATCATCTCACAATCTTTTGCCTGTCATTGTTGGTGGAACAAATTACTATATACAGGTTAGTATTGCCATTTCCTTAAGGGCTCGTTTGGTTTGGGGATTTCTGAGGGGAGGGGAGTATTTATTTACTGCGTGTATTTTACTAATTTATCTCTACTTGTCAGCCTTAAATTAGAAAGTTACATCTTCAGTTAAATTATGTATGTTTATATGATTTTTCATTCTCTCTTCATTTACAACCATCTATATGTAATACTAAACTAATAAAACAAGTATCACCCCCTCTTCTAGTCTTCCTCCCTTCTGAAGTTCCTCAACAAAAAAGGGCTTAGAGTTTGGATGATAAAGTTAACTATCAAGGAATGGTGTGCTTGTTTTTGTATCATCTAGGATGTTATAATTCAGAGACTTTTGTTGATGTGGCCCCTATGCGTTTTAGAACGTGCATGTTGTGAATATGTATCATTTCTATTGAGATTTTCTGTATATGTGAATAAATATTTTTCTTTGTATTTTACCATCTCTTTCTTTGTTGTTGCACCAATCGCTTTAATGGCAAACTTTTCTAGTTTCAAGTGAATAAATACAGTTTGCACTTTGCACCACCAATAACGTTGTTGTTTGATCACATCTCTTTTACCTTTCAAAGTGGAGGTCTGAGGTCACTCGTTTTAAACTCATTCCAATCAAGGTTAGCAGTATTATTGAACAAATACTATAAATAGGTTAGAGTGTATTCCAAAAAATACATTTGCACTTTGTAGTCTTGAATATTTTTTACTTTTCTACTAATAATCATTATGCAGTATTTCTTTTTTCATTTTGTGGTTGTCCCTTTAAGTTGGGGTTGAGGGCTAGGAGTAGCAATATATCATTAAGTAGAAATAAGTTCAAATCGTTGTTATGAACATAAATTTGGGTAATTTATTTTATATTCTGTCCCTACTGTCTAAGTCATTCTAATATTTGTAATTGTATATATGACATTATTCATTTTCATTCAGGGACTTGTTAGCCCATTCCTTATGGAGGCTCTTTGTGAAGATACAGAAATAAATGGCTCACTGGATACCGTTGGTAAAAAATTTCTTGCTTGGGAATCTGTACCAACAGAGTACAGATGTGATGCTATCTAGTATCTAGCTAGATTGATAGGAAACTTCGTTCTTGATATCTAAAAGTTGCAGGCTATCTTATCTTTTTGCAGCCAGCGAGCAATCCAATCCTGAACTCAAAATTGAACGGGAAGGTTTTTGTTATACTTATGATTGTCTTAAAGCCATCGATCCAGTTGCAGGTGCTCGAATTCATCCAAATGATAATAGGAAGGTGATTTCAATTCAATATGTATTTTAAATTTCACACTAAATTCAACCACATTTGAAGGACAGCTGTCTCTTTGTGTGATCCATTATGCCATTTAAAATGTAGCCTGGCTTATTTAGAGTGACATTTGATGGATGCAATTGTAACAGTTGTGTTAGGACATGTTACTTTGGATTACACTGAGCATTCTGTTGCTAGGAGGATCACTGACTGTGATGTGGTCCTTTCACCTTTCAATTTGTGTCTTTAGGTTAAATCATAGCTTTGTCCTTGATTATTTGATGCATGTCTTGTTTTACTTCATTTTGTCTCATAAAAGTACTTGAAGTTTGGGGTTTATCTTAGGTGGTCCTCCCTTGTTGGGAAGTTTTCAGCCTCAATAGTCTCTAAGTATTTGTATATTAAAGTGGCATCATCATCACCATCATCAGAACCAACTACTTCTTGCTAAGGAATAATGGAATGAAATTTCGGAATTGTTATCATCAATGTTAATCTTGCATATTCACATGCGTTGAAATTGTTAGGAGGTGGTGATGAGTTGAGATAATTGCTATACTCGCGTTCCATTACAAGATTGATATTGTAAACTTAACTTGCAGTTTGCAAATCATAGAGCATGACCATTAATAGTTACAGTGTGCACCATAGAAATTTTGGTTGAACAGTTGAGCTTAAATCGGATGTCTAAACCTTTATATACACCTAATAATGCTACAAGCATCCATTTTGTATGCATATTTCTTGTCTGTGGTATCAAATTTGAAATTATCACTAACTGAGAGGGTGTTGCTGGTCTTCTCAATGTGAAAAGTAAAGGCAATGCATTACCAGTTTCTGAATTATGATGCATGATGCTCACACTCTTCGCTACTTCTACACTCTTTACATGTAAAATGCGCAGGTCCATCAATACCTAAAGTTGTATTCACGATTTGGTATTCCTCCAAGTAAAGTTCTACAAGAAAAGACATCAAAGGTATGTGCACTTTGTTTAGTCTACCATTGTATTTTCCAGATCAATACTACCTCTGTCCCGTTGAAAGGTTCTTATTGCAAAATGACACAATTATTAAGACAATAATTAAATAAGGTAATTTGAGTATATTTTGAGAAATAAATTTCATAGGTATATAATATAATGGGGTTAATGATGATAACTGTGATGTTATAGGTGTATTATTTTTTAATATTTGATGATTAAGTTGTCATTTAAGAGTGCTAATTGTTTCCTAAAATAAAAATGAGAACCTTTATATGATACTTCCAAAAATGGAAAGTAGGAACCTTTTAATGGGACGGAGGAGGGAGTAGCAGTCTGTATTAAAAAACTAGATATCTTATATTTCCGTAAGAAAATCTTCCACTTTCTGTCCTATTTTCCAGACTAAAAGTTGCATGAAATCCATAGCTGTGCTGGGTGTGCACCAAAATTTGAAACACCCAATGTCTGTACTAATAGTTGAAATTATGTAGTAGTCTGTATCAGATGCCAGTCTATTCATATTCTCATCTCATCCATGTAACATTTATGTTCTAGTATATGTGGATGCTTGGTTTTAAAAAGCGCGCCTGAGCCGCACAAAGGCGCGAGGCGCCTCTAGGCGATGACTTCATCGCATCCAAACATCCCAGGCGCAGCAGATTCCATAAGGCGCGCCTTTTACCTCGCCTAGTGCCGCCTTTTGCGCCTCTTTGAAGCGTCGCCTTTCACGCCTTATGGAATATGTCCGCTAAACTTCCTTCAAGCCTTTTGGCGATTCATCCCTCTCGATTTCCAGAATTTTCGTAGGGTAATATATGCATGTAAGGTAAGGTTACTTCACTCCATCAACTCAAAGTCTCAAACCTTCCGCTCCTCTGTCGCAGATTGCCATTTTTATGTTTTTTTTTTCCGGCTGTTCTCTTTGTTTCTTTTTGTTCGGCTGCGTAAATTTCTTTCTTCCATTCTCTTTGTTTTCTTTCTTCCGCTAGTCTTTGTATTCTTTACACTATTATTTTTAAAATAAATAAAATAATTCAAATTATGTAATTATATAACCATATAACAATCTTCCCTAAACCCTAATCCCAATCCGAATTTTATCAATTTTTAGAAATAATAAATATGGTTTGTCGAATCTGTCAATCTGATTGTTTAACTTTATACTCTTGATACTTTATAAGTTTATTATATAATAATTAGTCAATTATATATGAGAGCTGGTTGTTATTAATAATCATTATATAAAAGGTTTTTTTAAAATTTACTATTAATTGCTTAGGATTTGAATTAAGTACTAACAGTTTATTGTAAATATATTTACTATTAATAGAAGTATTTTTTAGAAGAGTGCTTCATGTAGAAGTTGTAAAAATATATTTTACCAAAGATATATGATTTCGATCAGTGAGGCGCGTGCCTCGTCGCCTTGCGCCTCGCGCCTCGAGTAAATCGATGAATCGCCTCATGCCGCCTCACGCCTTTTAAAACTAAGTGTGGATGACATTATTGTTACTGGCTCAACTCCTGCTCTTGTTCATCGAACAATTGCATCGTTGGCACACAAATTCTCTATCAAGGATTTAGGGTCCTTACATTATTTTTTTGGCATCCAGGTCACCCCTACACCAGATGGCATCTTCCTTGATCAATACAAATACATCAATGACCTATTGCACATCATGAATATGCATGAGGCTAATTCCGTGGCCACACCCTTAGCTTCATCAGTTTCATTGAGCTTATTTGACAACTCGGGATTATGTCACGCTACTCTTTATCGCCAGGTCATTGGCTCACTTCAGTATTTGAACCACCCAATGTATATAGAAGGAAATAAATCCCAGGATCCTCCCCAAAGGAAATAATATATTCTACCGTTACCATTCTAATTAAGGGAAAATATATTTGTATTAATTAGAATAGTTCATTTTCATTTTCATTTACCCCAGTGCCGCAAAGGCTCCCACCTACGGTGGGGTAAGGGGGGGTCGGATGTACGCAGTCTTACCCCTGTACTAAAGCACGGAGAGACTGTTTCCGGATGACCCATAGTGAAAATCCCGTCCAAAATTGCATGGACTGACTGCTGCTTCATAACAAAGAAGCGCAGACAGTTTAGTGAGCCATTTTGCTTTATTCCATCATAATCTCAAGCCAAATAATAATGAATCTTTGGCTCCATTGCAAATGATGGAAAATATTAAACTGTCTGCGCTTCTTTGTTATGAAGCAGCAGTCAGTCCATGCAATTTTGGACGGGATTTTCACTATGGGTCATCCGGAAACAGTCTCTCTGTGCTTTAGTACAGGTGTAAGACTGCGTACATCCGATCTCGCCTTACCCCACCGTAGGTGGGAGCCTTTGCGGCACTGGGGTAAATGAAAATGATGATTAATTAGAATAGTTATGTTAGAATATTTCCTTATAGAATAGCTCCCTCCCTGATTGTATAAATACCACTACAGACTAATGGAATTATCATCAAATTCAGTTCTAAAAATTTCTTTTTCTTAAATTCCTTTATGATATCAGAGCCGTAGAGCTTTTACCAGCCCTTCCTCCATGGCCGGTGGCGGAAACATAGCCTCACGCTCTGAAGACTCCCATGAACATGAAGACCTGGAAAACCCTCTCACCAACCAATCCATACCCACCCCAAAAATAGTCACTGCCTTTGTCAACACAACAACACTGTAACACCCGAAGGACTGATCATGCTTAACCCTAGCCAATTCCCAGGAAAATTAGATGGGTCGAATTACCTGATTTGGCGAGACCAAGTCCTTGATCTTCTCTTCAGTTCACACTTAATCAATATATCGATGAGGATGCTACCCCACCTCCAACAAGTGATACTGTTGGTCACCTTCTCTGGACCAGACAGGATCGGCTTCTCCGCCACGCACTCGTCTCTTCCTTGAGCACGGCTTGCAAACCCTTGATTAGCCCTGCTTGCATTTCTGATGCTGTCGGGAAAACTTTGGAGCGCCTCTATGGAACCCTGTCTGCCTCTACGATCTGAAACCTTAAAGATCGGTTTCGTCATACGAAGCAGGGGTCTCAGGCCGTCGGTGAATATCTGCATCATCTCAAAACTTTGGCGGATGAACTGGACCGGGCAGGAAGACCGGTGGATGACGAAGATTTTCTTCTGCAGGTACGGGAGGGACTCCGTTCGGAATTTGAATCGATGGAGAACTCCATCCGAACCCTAGACGCTGCTAAATTTGAGATTGTGTATGGACTGCTCGTGGGTTTTGAAGAAAAACTTCAACGGAAAGAATTTATAAACATGGCTTCTTCTTCTTCCGTTGTTACTGCCAATACGGTGCTCGCAGAGAGTGCTCTACTTGGACTGTTGACTCGACGGACGACCAGCACTGCAGAAAGCCCTTCTATATCGGGCCCTGGCCCAAGTACAAATCAAACTCCAGCCCCCCGGACTTATAATCAATATCGCACCCATAATCGGAATCAGGCCCGAACCCAGCGGCCCAATAATTCATTCAACCCGAACCGACGTGGAGTCAATAATTTTGGGGGAAGCCAAAACAACATGGGTGGACGCAATAATCCAGGGGGTAATTATCCTGGTAATATTACATGCCAAATTTGTGGTAAACCGAATCACCTTGCTCTCAATTGTTGGCATCGTTTTGAATAGCAAGCCTACCCTCCTGAGGCTAGTACCGCCACAACAAGCAGAAATGGGTGGTTGCTCGACTCCAATGCAACCAACCATGTCACCATTAATCTGAACAACTTGAGCTTGGCATCCGACTACACTGGCACTGATTCTCTCATTATTTGTAATGGTAAAGGTCTTGCAATTGCACAAGTTGGGGATGTGACCCTTCACTCTCTATCTCTACCTAATATCCTATTTGTTCCGTTATTCATACCAATTTAATTTCTGTAGCTAAATTATGTCGTGATAATGATGTACCAATTGAATTTCATCCTTCTTTTTGTCTTGTTAAGGACCGACAAACGGGAGTAATTTTGTTATGGGGTATGAATAACGGTGATGTATACAGCCATCCTGAAGTGCCCACTCCACCACCTCCGTGTGTTAACATTGCTAGGAAGTTTTCTATGAATAATTGGCATTGTCGTAGTGGTATTTATACAATCAGGGAGCTATTCTATAAGGAAATATTCTAACATAATTATTCTAATTAATACAAATATATTCCCTTAATTAGAATGGTAACGGTAGAATATATTATTTCCTTTGGGAAGGATCCTGGGGTCTATTTCCTTCTATATGTATTAGTAGTTGAAATTATGTAGTAGTCATGGACAAGGTAGTTAAAAGCGCTCGCCTTGTCGCTTATGCGCACCAGGCGCAACAAGCAGGGTATACGGCGCTTGGGAGTAGGGGAGGCTCACACATATGGGTAAGGAGCAGCTTAAGCGCATGAAGCGTTGAAGTGCTGAGAGTCGCACGCCTGGGTCTCGCGCCTGGGTCGCCTTATGCAAATAAGGCTGATGGCTTCTTTTTGTTTAAAACTTCCAAAAATAATTTGCTCATATCTGTAATAGCACTCAGCCCATCTAAATTATAGGGTAAAACAAGTGAAACCTGTGTAACACCTTAACTCATGTAGTCACATATGTAAAAATGTAAAACCCCGCGTAAAACTATAGCAAGCATCCGCTCTTCAATCTACTCACTTTCCTCATTCCAGCTGCTCTACATCGACCAAGTTTTCTTCTCTTTTAATGACGAATAGTCCTTCACAAGTTTAACAAGGGGAAATAGGCTCCGATTCGATTGTCTTTTAGTTTTATTATTAAAGCCATGTATGTCATAGAATCAGAGCTGGGTGGGTGAAATGGAAAATTGCTTCAGGATTTCTATGCGATCGAGGTATGCCGACTAAACTGAAAGGTAAATTTTATCGTACACCAATTAGGCCGGCATTAATGTATGGCGTAGAGTGTTGGGCGGTGAAGCAATGCCACATTCAAAAGATGAGTGTGACAGAGATGCGTATGTTGCGTTGGATGTGTGGACATACCAGAAAAGACCGCCTGAGGAATAAGGTAATCAGACAAAAGGTGGGAGTAACACCTATAGAAGATAAGATGCAGGAGTCTCGTTTGCGGTGGTTTGGGCATGTGCATAGAAGACCGAGTGATGCACCTGTTAGACGACTTGAGGGGTGGGAAGAAGAGTCATAGAAGAGAGGGAGGAGAAGACCCAAACAGACTTGGATTAGGGTAATCAGAACTGATATGCGTCTTCTTGGGATGGATGAGAGTATGACTTTGGAGAGCAAAGTGGAGGACGCACATCCATGTGGACGATTGATATCTTGTCTACCTTTCCTCTCTTGTTTCTTTTATCGTTTATCTTCCTTATCTTTTTATATATTCTTATGTTATTTTTATCTTCTAGCTTTTTTATGCTCTTTTATTTATTTTTCTTTTATCTTGGTTATATTCTTGTGTTATTCTTATCTTATATTTATGTATCTTTATTTTATTCATTTTATCTTACTTTTTTTTTTCTTTTCTTGTCCGCCTTCTCTTTTTGGCATCGATATCATAGATCGATTCATGTTAGCCGACCCCAAATTCTTTTGGGATTAAGGCTTGGATGTTGTTGTTGTTGTATTAAAGCCATGACTTCCGAATTTGGTGTTTTATTTTTGCGGAACATGACTTTAATTTGGTGAATCCTGGCTTTTAAATGCATTTGGTTCAATATGATGTTGCATACATCATATTCGGTAATTATAGAATAGTATATGTGATATTATCTAAGTAATGCGCTTCACCCGAGTCACGCAAACGCTTTAATTGCACCTTGCGCCTCAGGTGCTGGAAGGCCCCTAGCGCTTCAAGCCCTCCAGTAATTTAGTGCTATTTTTTCATTTAAAATTTAAGAATTTGTCTGTTTATCATTTCTACTTTTTATGCCTTGCTCCTTGAGAAATTAGAAATCGTTTCTGAACTGATTACGATACTTGAAGAGCATACTGATCATTGTAAATTGGATGAAGTAATGTGCAATTCTATAAATATGCTCATTGTGTAACTCTTGTTATATCTTGCACCTGGCAGGACAGAACTGGGGTCATGTTGATAGTTCAAGATTTAACTTCTGTTTTATATGTGTGGATGCATCTCTAGCGGTGTTGGACTCTTTTGTTGATAAAAGGGTTGATCACATGATTGAATCTGGTCTGCTTGATGAAGTTTTTGACATTTACCGCACAGATGCAGACTACACAAAAGGCCTCCGCCAAGCCATTGGTGTTCGGGAATTCAACGACTTTTTCACGCGCTACTTTCAACCACCTAGTACCCAGAGTTTTAAACAAACTGTACATGATATTCTGTATGGCCCTAGTGATGATGATAGAAAAGTTCTTCTGACTGAAGCTATTGACAAAGTGAAAATGAACACCAGAAGACTAGTTCGTCGCCAAGTAAGGATATATTATCTTACTGCTCATAAAGTATAGATGATCAGATTTAAACATTTGGGACCAAAAGTTATATTTTTTTGTTGTTGATGACCTTTTGTATACCCAGAAGAGAAGAATCCAACGCCTGGAAATGCTATTTGGATGGGAGATACATTATATTGATGTTACAAGTTCCATATCGGGTATACAATTTGTAGCTTCTAAGTTCTAACCACCTTCTCTATCTTATGATTTTGGCACACTATAAGCTACACATTAGTTTTTATTTAAGATGCTTTTTGAATAAGCTTTGTTTGGTTTAGATAGCTTATTTGATAAGCTTCATGGGATACCTATTCAAATAAATTAATGAGTCATTCTATTTAGTTCCATTTTTGAAATCATTTTTCTTCAAATTATTGAAACATACTTTTTTATGTTATTATATTAGCTAATTTTGACTAAACAATATATGAGATCAGCTAGCTCATCAACTACATGTGTTAAGGTATAAGCTTTAAGTTAAGAAATTAATAAACCAATCAGCCTACTTATCATCTTTCAGCCTGAGAATTGAAATGATGTGTGGTCTCTGTAGGGGCTTATGATGAGATCTGGGAAGCAGAAGTGGTTGAGCCAGCGGTTGCAATAATAAACTCTTTTCTCAACAGCGAATCATGCTCGGAGAACACCAATGATAATACTAAAGATATAACACTAAAGCTAAGGGATTTATGGAATCAATACGTCTGTGAGGTAAGTGGTTGTCTAAAAACTTCGCTTTCTTAGTTGCTTGTCTTCTGCATGTAGTACATACAAAACTTTTGATTGTAGGCATGCGGGAATAAGGTTCTTAGAGGTGCACATGAATGGGAGCAACACAGACAGGGCCGTAGCCACAGGAAACGAATTTCTAGCCTTAAGAAATGTGATATAGTGTCTGTTAAATTACACTGAAAGGCCTTTTTGCTGAAAAGGTGTTTAAGTTACAGGGAGATGTATGTTTCTTGGGATGGTCTACAGTTAATGTGACTGATATCCGACCCAACATAATTGGAAAAGGGTTTGGATTAAGGGTAGGATTAACTGTTTAGTTTTTGCGACTCAGATTTTGACTCTTCTGTTGAAATCGTTCTTTCTTTTCTAAAGCTGTTTTGCCACACATTTAAATTGAACTAGAACACGTATAAAGTGAATTCGTGTCAAATTGGCTAAAATTTTAAGGAGCCATTTATAATTTCACTATGAAGGCATACATACACTGATGCACATAAGTCTTTATAACCTTAAATTATACCGTATGAGCGGTATACGGTGAGCACCGTATACCGGTATACGGATTTATTTTTTTCATTTTCCTTTTGTTTTTAAAAAATGCTAATAACTTTTTTTATTTTTGATCTGATTTTTATAAAATTTACATTTTTTATTTTTCATGATCTTTCAAATGAGACCAATATTGCTTATGTAATTTTAAGAAATTACCGAACTATTATATTAATGAGTATTGGATTATAAGGAAAATCGAACTAAATTTAATATAGAAAAATAATTGTGTAAATCACAATTTATCTTAAAATTATGTATATAAAAAATTTATTTTATTATGTATTTATACATGTGAGTTACATATTTTTATACGTAAAGTTACATATTTGTACAAGTAAAGTTACCTATTTATACACACGAGTTGCATTTGGCCTGCCTGAACGCGAGTTACATATTTTTACACGTAAAGTTACATATTTTTACACGTAAAGTTACATATTTATACACGCGAGTTACATATTTTTACACGTAAAGTTACATATTTATACACGCGAGTTACATATTTATACACATGAGTTGTATTTTACCTGTCTGAACGTGATTTACATATTTTTACACGTAAAGTTGCATATTTATACACGTGAGTTACATATTTATACACACAAGTTGTATTTGACCTGTCTGAATGCGAGTTACATATTTTTACACGTAAAGTTACATATTTTTACACGTAGTTACTTATTTATACACACGATTTGCATTTGGCCTGACTGGACGTGAGTTACATATTTCTACACAAAGTTACATATTTTACATAAGTTAATATAATAGTTCGATAATATGTTAAAATTACATAGGCAATATTGGTCTCATTTGAAAGATCGTGAAAAATAGAAAATGTTGATATAAATTTTATAAAAATCGGATCAAAAATAAAAAAGTTATTACCATTTAAAAAAAAGTGAAAACATAATACCCAATGAGTGGTCATGGTTCATGGTATACCCACTCCTTTATCGTAGCCACTCATTTATAATATAGAGTTGTAACGGAGGAGCCCACTCTACATATGAGTGGTCATGATGAAGTCACAAACATGACATATGAATCTATAGTAGAGTTGTATGGGATTTCCTAAAATCCCCCCTAACATGTATTGAGTTTGAATGAAAAGCTTCCATTGACCTATAATTTTCCTTCCAATTTCCTTTTTGGGATGTCTAAAATTATTTTCAATCTCCTTTTAGGCAATGGTTTTAGTGATCAACATCTTTTTCTTTTTTCTACATCAACTGCAGTTTACAACAATACATTTGCACATTATTAGAGGGTTGGATTTACTTCCTAAAATTGTTTCTGCTGCACCAGAAAATAGAAATAGATATTGAAGTTTTGAGTGAAAGTATGAAAGTACTTCTAAGTGTTTCAAATTGTTCCTAGAAGCACTTTCCTAGAAGTCGAGGAAAATTGACTTTTATAGTTTTATTAATTGATTGTGCTACTTTTTAAAAAAGTAGAAGTATTATCAATTCTAAAATTAGAGTGAGAAATTTATAAGTGTCACTTGATCTAGTCACGAATTACTCAAATTAGTATGCATCCTAAAAGGTCAAATAGTCTCCGTTGGATTGTTTTCACTCAGACTGAAATTTTATAGTTTGATCTAAGATTTGGTCTAATATGTTTATTTGATTTGCTATATTGCGGACCAATTCAGTTCAAATGAAAAGTTTGAAATGATCTGAATGTGACATTATATTTTTGAACAGAAAGAAGGTTTTGATTGAGTATGAGGTACTCCCTCCGTCCTTGTTTTATCTCCCATTTCGGCTGGGCACACTTATTAAGATAGTGGGTTTTGTGTGGTGGAGAGTTGTGCAGAGGAGAGAGAAATGTGTAAGAATGTGTAAGAATGATTGTGAACCACAAATTCTTTGCCAAAAAGGGAAGGAGGAGATAATTTTGGGACGGACGAAAAAGGAAAGTTTGAAGATAATTCAGGGACGGAGGGAGTATAAAAAATGACGTAAGTCGCTCTGGTAATCAGATTTTCAAAATTAATACCTATTTGCATGCTGGATAACCTAAGTTTCGTTTTGACGTTTGTATTTTAGTTGACCAAATTGATACCCGAAGATGTTAAATTCGTCACCAAATAAGATATGCTTTATATAGTCACGTAATTTGAGAGAGAATGATGACAAGGAGCCTTCATAAGAAATGGTAAAAACATTGTATGCCGGACTATGCCCCCGTCATTCAATAAAAGGTGAGGGTTGAATAATCTCACTGACTCACTTTAACCATTTCAGACTAAAGGTAATTTCTTTTGAATTTTATGATCTCCTAAAAGTTTCTTTTTGTCAACTTTTTACACCAAGGGTATGTTTGGGAGCGTGGGTTTTGAAAGGGAGGCGAGGTTAGGGTTGGACCGGCCCGGGTTGGGTCGGGACTGGGCGGGCCTAGCTATGGGTTGCAGGCCCTGTAGCGGCCCAGGACGGGACTGGGTGGGTTTAGGATTTGGGTTGCAGGCCCGGTACCGGCCCGAGTTTTGTAGTGGGATCGGGCTTGGTTTGGGTTGGGTCAAGGTTTTTTTAAAAAATTTTGTTTAAAATGGGAAAAAAGGCCCGGATCGGTCCCGGACCGCTAGGATCGGTCCCGGACCGCCTGGATCGGTCCCGGACCGGTCACCTATTTTCTAGACCCATAGCCCGCCTCCCCAATACGGTTCGAGCCCCAGTTCCATTACCGCCCGACCGGGCCTAAACAGTGGTGGGACCGGGCCGACCCTTCTCAGTCCATCCCTAGGGATGATTGAGAAGGATTTATGACCCTCATTTTCATGTTTGGGAGTTAAAAAATATGGAGGGATGATTTCGGAAAGCTTTTGTAACCCTCCAAAACCATTCAAATACTCACTTTTCAAGTTCCCCCAAATTGGAGGTTTTTGAAGAACATTTAATTAAATGACAATTTTAGCTCAATTTTAATAGATAAATTCAACTATTTGAATTCGTCATATATGTAAAGTGATTTTAATTATAATTCATTCAAAACTCATACTCCTTATTTTTTTAAACTTATTACATCAAACAAAAAGAAGCGTTTTCAACCTTTTCTATCCCCTTTCCTTCCAATGACTAACCTTAAAAACTTTCCCCTCCCCTTCCCTTCAAACTCCCAAACTCCCCCTAAATATAACTATAAAGTCTCATTTTCTTAATATGGATTCAAGTCAAACAGAAAAGAAAGCTTTGAGAAAGAGGTAATTTTCTCATAGTACTTCGTGAATGGATATCATTAGCGAAGCCTATACGCCAAAACCAAGTTACCGAACACAAGCGTTATACGTAGTACTCGTATAACATTATAACTTCTTCTAAAACATTTTTAATTTTTTAAATTCTGACGTCATTCTTATAGCACTTTGAGCTCATTTGGTAAAACTGAAATCGGTTGAATAAGTTGAATCTACTAAATTCGGTTAAATCTGTATAATAATCACTAAACACATGTCTATTTCTTACTCCGTAGTATTTAACAATTAAAAAGTATTTTTTTGTCAATAAAATAATTAATTTATTTTACATTCAATTTACTTAACTGCTACATGTGTTTAAAGTTCCGTTTAAGAAAAAAATGATACGAAGTACACGCTATGTTAATGTATAGTCGTACCTTTTATAGCAAAAAGAGTCGTTCGGGACTAAAATGAATTGAAGGTAGCTCTTGAGTCTTGTCACACAGAAACACCCATCATTCATTCATTATTATTATGAAACCTATACATACTGACTGACATTTGTACGGTTCATATGTTATTTGCCCCAGATTTGAATGGGCGGGGAAATAACGCGCTTAGTTGGTCGAGTGGTGGAAGATTTGGATCAATAGATCAAGATTCGAATCCCCGCAACGACCGGGTGGAGCTCACAGAACCTGAAAAAAGACTGAGCCTCTGGTGCGCACGGGTGTATGGACCTACTGCCATTTTGCTGACTGAATCATCGTGACTAACCTCCCCATCATCCTGTCGGGTCGGGGTGAGGGCTCCTAGGGCGGGAGATTTCACCTTTTTGATCAATTGTTGGATCAATTGAATGGACGGGGAATAACTGAACACATGCTCGGCTGGATGACATCATGTGAGTACGTACGACAATGAAGCAGTCCACGTGGATAAAGGACTAGTGAGTAGTGATAAGTTATTCGGCCCCGGCCCCGATAATTCTTGTGTACACATTTTTGTTTATGCTCTTATTTTTTCTATACAAAAAATATTTGCATTTTTTAAATGAATTATTTTTTGTTTTTGTAGAAGCTAAACATATATGGAGTTGCAAAATTGTTCTATACATCATTAGCGCAAATTATATGGTGCAACCGGCGCACCATGAGGATGGTGCGCCCGGTTGCAAAAACGACGCAATCTCTTTTTTTTTTACTTTTGATGTTAAAAATGATAATAACTTTTTAATTTTTGATCCGATTTTTATAAAATTTATATCAACATTTTTTATTTTTCATGATCTTTCAAATGAGACCAATATTGTGTATGTAATTTTAAGAAATTATCGAACTATTATATTAATGAGTATTGGATTATAAGAAAAATCGAATCTGTTTGGGAGATGATAGGCTTGTGAAATAGAAGATCGAATCTGTTTGGGAGTGGATCAGTGGCCTCAGTTACATTTGATAATACATTAAGTTACATCTTTTTATGAGCGAGTTACATCTTTTTATAAGCAAGTTACATCTTTTTATAAGCGAGTTACATCTTTTTATAAACAAGTTACATCTGTTTATAAGCGAGTTACATATATATATACACACGAGTTGCATTTGACATGTCTGAACGTGACTTACATATATTTACACATAAAGTTACATATTTTTACACGTAAAGTTACATATTTATACACGCGAGTTACATATTTATACACACGAGTTGCATGTGACATGTCTGAATGCGAGTTACATATTTTTTACGTAAAGTTACATATTGTTACATGTAGAGATACATATTTATACACACGAGTTGCATTTGACTTGACTGAACGTGAGTTACATATTTTAACACTTAAAGTTACATATTTTACACACAAATGTTAATATGTTAAAATTACATAGGCAATATTGGTCTCATTTGAAAGATCATGAAAAATAAAAAATGTTGATATAAATTTTATAAAAATCGGATCAAAAATAAAAAAGTTATTACCATTTTTAAAAAACAAAAGGAAAAATAAAAATACAAACCGTCCCGGTATATGGTGCTCACCGTATACCGGTTGCACGGTATACGCACTCATCATTAGATAGGCATTCCCCAATCAAGCTCAAGCAAAAACAAACATTTGCTCAAGAACAATTGCACTTTAACATATCACCTTCTTAAACAAATCTGAACAAACGAAGTTCAAAAATCGACCATCTTAAACACACCAAATATGAGATTTGTATAAAAGCGCGTACAAGAATAAATTTTCTCCGGGCATTCTCTCTAGCACTTTAGGGTGTGATTACAAAATTTTAAAATAGTTTTTCCCATCATTTGGTTTGGAAAAATTTGAAATTGGTATTTTTCGAATTACAATTTCTGCTTAATTCAAACGCTTAAAAGGAAAAGCTTCAAGCAATTGAATGTGTGCTTTAAATTGTGTTTCATTTTATTATTATACAGAAAGTTTTTATGTACTTCATACCAAATACGATCAACATTTACTTTTTGAAAACATTTTTTCTTAAACACTATCATAGCCAATTTAGTAATACCTAAATAGAATGAATCGATTGATGTCGTTGAAACTTATGAAATTGTGGTTAAAGTGACTATATTGACTAATTCGGTTCATTTATGTAAAAGCTATATTTAAAAGATAGGGAGAACTATCAAATAAGCCCTCGAACTTTCGTAAAAAGTGCAAATAAGCCCTTTTATTGGAGACTTTGTCCGGGTGTCGCCATTTGGGGTGTTTTCCGGTGGAATATTTTGATGAATTTTTTTGAGAATCTTCTTCATTAACTCTAGTTTACCCATACCAAATTTCAGCTAAAAATTCAATCGGGAAGGCAGTCAAATGAATTTTTGAAGAGAACTGCGCAGTTAGACAGCGCAATATATTATATAAAATCGTTTGACTGCCTTCTCGATTGAATTTTTAGCTGAAATTTGGTATGAGTAAACTTGACTTAATGATAAAAATTCTAAAAAAAATCATCAAAAAATTACACCGGAAACCGCTCCGAATGGTGACGGCCGGACAGAGCCTCTTATAAAAGGGTTTATTTGCACTTTTTATGAAAGTTCGAGGGCTTATTTGATAGTTCCCCCTAAAAGATATATTATAAACAAGATAAAGAAAAAATTATACTCCATATGAAATACAAGTAAAATGATCCTTTGCAGTAACTTTAGCTAACATAGTTAAAATATAACTTCAACTTTACTTTATCTTATTATTACAAAATTCAGCAAGCAAAATAAATAATTACGTGTTTAATGAAAAAATTGATTTATAAACCTGATAAATTAAAAACACACTTACTAAATAGGCTCGCAATTTCTAAGGCAGATGGTCGCAAATTACGATAGCTATTGCCTATTGTACTAAGATACCGCAAAGCTCATTTGAGAGCACACTATCTATCTATCATTCTATCTACTACACACTGCTCCTAAGACCATGGCCGGAATTTGGTAATGATGCATTTCCGGCGACCCGTGATATTACTTCCCATGGCGGTTGGGGTCAAACCTATGCAATCACCACCACATCACATTTTTAGTAGGGGCCACTATAAAACCCTAACTTAAATCCCCATATAGCCTCCATGACTCTATAAAGAAATACTCCCTCCGTTCCTATTTTATCTTCCAAATAGATTTGGCACACAATTTAAGATAGTGGGTATTGTGTGGTGGAGAGTTGTGCAGAGGAGAGAGAAATGTGTAAGAAATGTTGTTAACCACAAATTCTTTACTAAAAAGGGAAAGTGGAAGTTTTAATTGGAACGGACGAAAAAAGAAAGTTGGAAGTTTTAATAGGAACGGAGGGAGTACTCCCTCCGTCCCTTAAAGTTTGTCACATTTTCTCGAAATCCCAAAATGTTTGTCCTACTTTTTCAACTTCCTTATTTGGTAAACAAATCTATACCAAACAGTGTCAAACAGTGCAAAACATTGTCAAATAGTGTCAAACAGCGTCGCTATAATGTGAAACAATGTCGCTACAGTGTAAAGTCAAATTCACCTCCTTAAAACTTGTGAAGTCAAAGTATGACAAAATTTGAGGGACAGCGGGAGTAAAACATCGTTCTTTAAATTTTTTGACTTATACAGTGCATATTTCTTTAAATAGTGCAAGCAATTTCAATTTCCTGTTATATAAACAAAGATGGTACTATATACAAACAAAATTGCTCATATTTATACAATACTCCGTATAATTTTATAGGGTTAATTGTCAAAATAGGACTAAAAGCTGGTTATTTTGCACATATAGGACCAAAAAGTAAACTATGTTTTGATAAGACTAATTATGTGTGTGTTGGACAAATATATCCTTGTTGCAATTGAAATGTTTTAAATTCATAATAAAATAATAAAAAATTTGTAAAAAATACCAAAAATTTACTGAAAATATTTACATAACAATAATTAAAAAAAGTATTTTTCTTAAAAAAATTAAAAAAAAATAAATAAAAAAATAAAAAACACAAAAAAAATCACTGCCGCCTCTACCGCCCCAACATCACTACCTCTAGTCACCAGGGAAAAAAATGCCACATCCATTATGAATGCCATATTTAAGGCAGATTCAATGAAAATTTTGGCATTCTGAAAGAGTAATATGCCATTTTTTGGCATTTTCAGAAAAAAATGACAATTTTTTTTAGAAAAACTGATATTTTTTACACTGGTCAGAGGTGGTGGTGCACGAAGGCAGTACAGGCGGTGGGAAAGGCATCCATAATTTTTTTAATTTTTTATGGTGTTTTAATATTTTTTATTATTTTTTAAAAATAATTTTTGTTTGATTTTATATTTAATAATATTTTATTAATTTTTATTATTTTTCTACGATTTTTTATTATTTTTTATGAATTTATATGAATTAAAACATTTAACTATGACTTTTGACTACCTTTTAATCATATTTAAAGGAGGGGTAAGAATGAAATGAAAAAATGGGTATGTTTCCAATAGGACTAATATGGTCCTATATTGGATTAAAAACATAACAAGTCATATTTTGAGTTTTTTCATTGTTTTAGTCCTATTTGAAGTAATTTCCGAATTTTATAACATAAAACATAAAATAAAACTAGCCACTATGGGACTATGGAGACTACTGCCGGACCTCTATAATTGCACTAGTTTTCCATCAAATATTGTCATTCTCAAATATAGAGCTCATTTGGTAACACTTAAATTGACTTAATCAGCTCATTCTGTTCAAGTTTATGAAATTCAGGCTAAAGTGGATGGACTGACGGATTCTAATGATTTATGAATAGATTATATTTTAAATATATTTTATTAGTAAATAAAGAAAAAATTATATAAAAAATACCTATAATTGTCCCCTACAGTACTTCTGCCAATTTAATCAAAAAACAATTTCAACTTTACTTATTTTAATTATTACACAATTTAGAGCGCGAAATTAAACTTTACGTGTTTAATGAAAAAATTGACTGATAAAATCGATAAACATGATTACTAAGAGCCGATTAGTAATACCAAAATCAGCTGAATCGGTTGATTCTGCTGAATTTTAAGAAATTCTGGCTAAAGTGGCTGAATTGACTGATTATGCTTATCTATTAAAAAATTATATTTAAAATATATTTTATTAATAAAACAAAGAAAAATTTATATGTTAAAATAACTAAAATGATCTTCCACAGTAACTTCAGGCAATAATGCCAGAAAAGTAACTTAAACCATACTTTTTCTATATTTATGCAATTCAGCGCGCGAAATCAAAAATTACGTGTTTGATAAAAAAATTGAATGATAAACTTGATAAGCTTAAAAATGTGTACCAAATAGGTTCTAAATGGACGGGTTCATAGTCTTCCATGTCCCTCTCTTTTACCCCACTTGACAACATTGGTAAGTGGTTTATTCCACTAGCTTAGTTTTTCATGAATAGTTGAATACTATAGCTTGATAATTGTTGGTGATAGATGACTTATAGCAACTCAGCCATTTTGGACTATCTTTCTAAAGATTATACTACCTCCGTCACTCCGTGCCACTCAACTTTGCCAAGTTGATGTTAGTTGGAAAATTAGAATAGTAAAATTTGTGTGTTTGAGGT